GAGTGAATTTTTAAAAATGAGCTCTTTTTGCCTGATTTTTGTTTTCCAGTTTGAGCTTCTCTTTGGTAAAAGGAAGGGTATGTCTGGTCATTAGAAATCTGATTATAGAAGTGAGTAAAAACTCTTACCCTCACTGAAATTATAAATGTGCCAGTCATTTGTTGATGGTAAATTAATAGATAAATTGTGTATGTTGTTATTAATTAACAGTGTTAACTGCTTCATGATAGGGCTGAAGCAAAATTTAGCAGTGCAGGAAAAAATAGTCCAAGATTGAGGAAGAAATTTTATATTTATGGCGGATAGTTTATGGTGATTTAAGCCTAAGCCTATCCTGGTTCTAGTTAATTTAGTAGTGTATTATGTAAATTAGTAGTGCTTGGATTCATTCCACACTTGCTATCTGCTATAAGTTTATTTTTATTTTACTTTTTAGATTTATTTGTTTTATGAGTATGAATTCTTTGCATGTATATATGCACACCATCTGTGTGCCTGGTGCCTTGGAGATCAGAAGAGGGTGTTGGACTCTCTGAAACTCGAGAAATGGATGATTGTGAATTACCATATGAATTCTGGGAACCAAACCCAAGTTTTCTGAAAGAGGAAGTGCTTGCTGAGCCATTTTTCTAGCACCTACCTGCTCTAACTTTAGGCATATTATATAACTGTGCTTATGTTTCTTCATTTGTGAACCAGAGATATTAGTAAAAGGACTTTGTAAAATTTGCAAGGATTAAATTGCTTATATACTATGTGACAGCATCTATGTATCTCTAGCTCTACAAAGATAGAACTATGTAGGTACTTACTATTATTTTTTATCAAGCATTAGTAATTATAATTTCCATAAGAGAGAAAGAGTGTGTGTCAGTGTGTGTCAGAAGTCAACCTTGGGTGTCCTTCCTCAAGTGCTGTCCATCTTCTTTTTGAGACAGGGTCATTCACTGTAAGTTAGCTGATTAGGCTAAGTAGGCTGACCAGTGAGCACCAGGATCCATCTACCTGAAACCACCTTCTCAGTGCTGTGATCACAAGCCTGTGCAACCTTATGCCTGGGTTTTTCTTTGGATGTTGGGGATCAAACTTAGGCCCTTGTGGGAAGCACTTTAGTGACTGAGCTGTCTTCCCAGGTTCATAATTTTATTTCTAATAGTTGCATAATTGGTTCCATATCATTGTCATATTAGAATAGTGTCTACCTTTTTTTAAGTGATTTTATTGCTTGAGTATTTAAGACAGATTTATGCCACTAGAGCAGAGGCCATGGATGACTCATACTTCCAGTTGAGAGGATGACCTGCTTATTTTATAATAACAAGCCAATAAAATCCATCTGTCTATCTCAGTCAGGCATAATTTAACATTCTCATCCTTTCTGATCCTCAAGATGCTTTCAGACAGTGACTGCTTTCTTAACGAAATGGTAGAGATCCTCAGGAAGATCAGGGGTAAGGCTTATGGACTAAAGAATTCTTAAAATTTTATTGACAGTTACAAAACAGACCTATGGCATACCATGAGCCCCTCAGGATCACACCAATTTCTAAGGCCAGTGTGTAAATCTGATCCTTGTCACCATCAGATGTCACCTTCAGACAGGTTGGCGATGTAGGCAGTAGAGCAATAGAGCAGAGCCAACTGGGAAGGCTCTTTGAAGGAGCATGCATGCAAACCATGATGTCAACTGACAGGAGAAAGAATTGTGTCTGCTGTTGAACTACAACCATTGCTTCTTAGCTTTCTTTTGTTATTTTAAGTTTTAAATATTGTGTTAGTGTGTATGTGACAGAGTTTAGAAGATAACCTGGAAGAATTGACTTTCTCTTCAGGAAGTGGCTTTTTCTTTCACCCATGTGGGTACTGAGAATTTAACTCAGGTTGTCAGGTTTGGCTGTAGGTGCATTTACCCACTAGTCCTGTTTCTTTTTTTTTCTTTTCCTTTTTTTCTTTTTTCTTTTCTTTTTTCTTTTCTTTTTTTTTTTTTTTTTTGACAGAGTGTGGCTATACAATACAAGTTAGACTGGGAACTCATGGCTGTAACACACCCCTCCATGCATCCCCATCCCCCACCTCTCTGAAACATCATCCTCCAGTGTTCAGAGAGCCAACCACGCTTGGCTAAGTTTCTTGAATTGTTAAGATCAGAAAGCATTTAGGTGAGTAACAAGACTGACTTGTTTTATTTTTCCTGAAGTTTAAATTTAAATTGTAAATGAATGTCTACTACAGAATGAGCAAGTAGCTTTTAAATTAATTCCTTTGTTTTAGGGTATGCAAATAGTGTCCAAACATTTGATTGACTAGTGTAATTGCCCTGTTTTAGAGAATTTTAAAGTAGCTACAGGCTTTGTGATCAGCAAGGAGTTACTGTGAAGGTTAGTGATGGATACTGCATTATATGTTTAATCTGGCTTTTAATTTTCTATCGCTAAAGTTAAAATGAGGCACTTTGGAACACCACTTGCAAAAACATCATGTAGCTCCTTCCTTCCTTTTTAAATTAAAAAACAAAATTATTTAGGAGCTAGTTTAGATGGCTCAGTGGTTTAAAAGCACTTGTTCTTGCAAAGGACCTGGGCTCCATTCCCACACCTGCATGGCAGCTCACAACCATCTGTGACTCCAATTCCAGAGGATCCAATGCTATTTGCTGACCTCTGTAAGTACCAGGCATGCATGTAACGCACAGACATACATACAAGAAAAACAATCATATAAATAAAAATGATAATAAGAGTAATAAGAATTGAACATATGTGTATGGGTGTTTTGTATACATGTATGTGTACCACTTTAATGCCTGGTACACTTATAGTGCCAGAAAAGGGCAATCGATCCTCTGGAACTAGAGTTACAGTATTGCTGTTAAGAATTGAACCTGGGTCCTCTGGAAGAGCAACCAATGATTTTAACCACCGAGCCATTACTATAGCATCGCACCTCCCATCTTTTTTTGACAAGGTCCCATGTTTTTTGTTTTCCTTTTATTGAAAAATAGATTTTTTCCCACGTAATTTATCCTAATTACAGTTTCCTCTCTATTTCTTCCAGTTCCTCCCCACCTCCCCACTCATCTAGGTCATTCCCTTCCTGTCTCTCATTAGAAAACAACATAATAAAACAAATATAATAAGATAAAACAAAAACAATCACATCAGGTTTGGACAAGAAGAAAAAGAGCACAAGAATCAGGACAGACAGCTCTCATGTTAACCCAGATTGGCCTTGAATGTACATGTGAATGTAGCTAAGGATGATCTTGAATTCTTGATTCTTGAGCTTCTATCTGGAGTGTTTGTATTAATCAGAAATATATATATATATATGATTCTTGAGCTTCTATCTGGAGTGTTTGTATTAATCAGAAATATATATACAGTATATACACATTTACTGTTAAGGAGACAGCTTAAACTTCAATTTGTTTTCATGGATAAAAACAGATTTTAAGGATAAGTATAGTATTGATTTAGCTGCAAACAAATTAAAGTATAATCAAAACTGTAAATGGATTTTCTTTTTTTTTTAATTTTTTAATTTTTTTATTTTCTCCACTCCCATTCCCTCTTCACCTCACCCCTGCCTACCATGCTCCCAATTTACTCACATCTTGTCTTTTTCCCTTTCTTAGGCAGATCCATGTATGTATCTCTTAGGGTCATCTTAGTTACCTAGGTTCTCTGGGGTGGTGGCCTGTAGGCTGGTTATTCTTTGCTTTATTATGTTGGTCATTCTGGGTCTGGGTTACCTCACTCAGGATGGCTTTTTCTAGTTCTGTCCATTTGCCTGCACATTTCAAGTTGTCAGGTTTTTTGTTTTGTTTTACCATTGAGTAGTACTCCATTGCATAAATGTATCACATTTTCCTTATCCTTTCTTTGGTTGAGGAGGACCTAGGTTGTTTGTAGGTTCTGACTATTACTAATAATGCTGCTATGAATATAGTTGAGCAAATGCAGATAGATTTTTCTTTGGGCTGCCAGCTCACAAAAATAAGACAGAGATTTCTTACTATTATGAAAACTTGGCCTTATCTTAGACTTGTCTATCTAGCTCTTATAGTTTAAATTAACCCATCTCTATTAATTTACATGCTGCCACATGGCTTGTGTCTTTTACCTCTCTTCCTGCATGTCCTGTTTTCTCTGCATCCATCTAGCAGCTCTCCCTTCCTTCTTCCCAGTGCTGTCTCTGTCTGGAAGTCCTGCTTATACTTCCTGCCCACCTATTGGCCAGTTAGTTTTTATTCCAGTCACAGTGATATATTTTTACACGGTGTAATCAAATATCTTGCAACCCAAAACTATACAATGAATTGAATTATAAAATATTTGTGTGGAATATTATAGCTTTTTATAATTTTAATGCTGTCTTATTGTTCTAAGCCATAAAACTTTATACATTTTAAACATTTCTGCAGTATAAAAAAAGCTTCAATAAGTTTTTCATAGATTTTGATCAAGAAGAGGTGTTTATTTTATTAATTAATTGATAAAGTTTGCTCTTGAGCAGTATAATAAATAGCATGAAGATCATAACTATTTTGACTTTTTTTTACTTCTTACTTGCATAATCATAAGCCCTGCCTTGGAAATATGTGAATGGTACTTGTCATTTCATGACAAGAATAAAGCCAGAGTGCCACTAGAAATGGCAGGCGTTGTGACAGCTGACATGAACCTCTTTAACTTTGATTACTCTGCCAAGTATTTTGATAACTCAGGAAGTGGGGTAAAGTGTGTGTTTCAGCCTCTTCTGAAACCTTTCATTGTATTTTATTTGTGTGTATTTAACTTATTTGATTTTTGAAATGACATGTTACTCTGTATCCCTGTCTGACTTGGAACTCACCATGTAGACCATACTTATCTGCCTGCCTTTTCCCCTTAAGTGCTGGGATTAAAGGCGTGTGCACTTCCAGTAGGGATAGGTTTAAACAAAAATAAATTTGTGTTTAGAAAATCTAACTTGAGTGTTATGTTTATTTTTGTGTATAGGTCTTGGTATTTTGGAAGCTACAAGAAAAAAAGATTAAGCGGTTTGTTTTGTTTTGTGGACATGGCTCAGATTTCCAGCAACAATGAATTCAAACAGTGTTCATCTTCACATCCGGAACCATTAAGAACCAAAGATGTGGACAAAGCAGAAGCATTACAAATGGAAGCAGAGGCCTTAGCAAAACTGCAGAAGGATAGACAAATGACTGACAGTCCTGGAGGCTTTGAGCTGTCTAGCAGCACTAGACAAAGAACACAAGGTTTTAACAAACAGGATTATGATCTCATGGTGTTTCCTGAATTGGATTCCCAAAAAAGAGCAGTAGATATTGATGTAGAAAAACTCACCCAAGCCGAACTTGAGAAGATACTGCTGGATGACAATTTTGAGACTAGAAAAACCCCTGTATTGCCAGTTACTCCTGTTTTGAGCCCTTCATTTTCAGCACAGTTGTATCTTAGACCTACTATTCAAAGAGGACAGTGGCCCCCTGGATTTTCTGGGCCTTCCACATATACTTTACCTTCTATTTATCCTTCAGCATACAGCAAACAGGCCACATTCCAGAATGGCTTCAGTCCAAGGATGCCTGCTTTTCCATCTACAGAATCTATATATTTAAGACTTCCAGGACAGTCTCCATATTTTTCATATCCTTTGACACCTTCCACACCGTTTCATCCACAAGGAAGTTTACCAGTCTATCGGCCACTAGTCAGTCCTGACATGGCAAAACTATTTGACAAAATAGCAAGTACATCAGAATTTTTAAAAAATGGGAAAGCACGGACTGATTTGGAGATAGCAAATTCGAAAGCTTCAGTCTGCAATCTACAAGTATCTCCAAAGTCTGAAGATATCAGTAAATTTGACTGGTTAGACTTGGATCCTCTAAGTAAGCCTAAGGTGGACAGTGTAGAAGTGTTAGAACATGAAGAAGAGAAGAAGAATCCAGTTTTGCTAGCAGAGGATCCTTGGGATGCTGTTCTTCTTGAAGAGAGGTCTCTAGCAAGTTGTCACCTAGAAAGAAAGGTGAATGGAAAATACCTTTCTGGGGCAACTGTAACAAGAAGCCAGTCTTTAAACATTCGGACAGCTCAACTTACAAAAGCCCAAGGCCAAGTATCTCAGGTATAGTCTCTGCTTGCTAACTTCTTAAATTCAGTAGTAAAACAGAGTACATCTTTGTGTGAATTATTTGTTGGGGGCGGGGGAGGGTTTTTTTTAATCTTGCCTTTCTTTGTCACCAAGGCTGCCATGGTTCTTTTTGGGGGTGGCAAAAGATTAAATATGATTAGTTACCTTAATCATATTTAGTTAGTTTTTTGTAAAACTGTAAATAAAAACCTAATTAAGTCTGTCTGGTAGAACTAACCTTCAGTCTAGCATTCAGGAGGCAGAGGCAGGTGGATCTCTGTGACTTTGAGGCCAGCCTGGTCTACATAATGATTGATTACCAAGCTAGCCAGGGCTACACAGAGAGACCTTGATTCAAAAAAACAAACAAACAAGCAAGATCAGTTTAGTTGAAGGTCTGCCATCGATGAGGTGAACTGAAGATATTCTCGGTCTTTCTGTAATATTGTGAACCTTTCTTTTTCTTTTATTTTCAGGGCAAGCAAGAGATTTTGTCTGTCACCCTTATACAAATTTGAACACATTTTCTTTTGTTCCTATACATAAAAGATACAAAGAAAAACATAATTTCAGAGAGCCAGGAAAAGGGCCATTTAAAGGTTTTCCCTTAAATACCCATATTAATAAAGAAGAAGAATAGAAATAGGTTATTACTAGTTTATGTGGTTTTTTTTTTTAATTCTTTGAGGGTTTTTTTTCCCCAACTTGTTAAATTTGAATTAGAAACAGGATTGTTTTACATGACAATCCCTTTGAGGGTTTGTTTTTTTTTTAATTAGGATTTTTTTAAAGACTTACTTTTATATGTGTGGGTGTTTCCTCTGCTTGTAAGTCCGTGCCCCACATATGTCCAGTGCATGTGGAGGCCAGAAAAGGTCATCAGAATTACAGACAGCTGTGAGCCACCATGTGGGTGCTGGGAACTGAGCATGGTCATTGGTAAAAGCAGCCAGTGCTTTCCAGCTCCTTTATTTGAGACAAGTCTCAATGTGGCCTCAAATTTGAAATGCCCCCCCACAAGAGCCTGCAAAAGTGCGGGGTGTGAGATAGTATTAATTAAGGGGTAACTGGAATAGTATGTCTTTGCTCAGAAGAGAGTCAGGCACAGTTTAGAATTTTCCTTTACAAACATGCCATTCCAAATATTATGATATCTGTAGATCTTGGAAATGTTTAAGGATTAAAAAAGAAAAGCACCAATGCATGGCATTCATACCTTTAATACAAGTACTTAGGAAGCAGAGACAGGCAGATCTCTGAGTTTGAGGCTAGCCTGGTCTGTATAGCAAGTTTCCAGGCCCACCAGGACTACATAGTGAGAGTCTGCCTCAAAAACAGCATGGCAGTGGTGGTGGTGGGGAGTGTGCATTAAGTGAATAAACTGTTTTTTTGTTTTGTTTTGTTTTTTGTTTTTTTGTTTTTGTTTTTGTGCATTAAGTGAATAAACTGTTTTTTTGTTTTGTTTTGTTTTTTGTTTTTGTTTTTGTTTTTTTTTTTTAAGACAGGGTTTCTCTGTGTAACAGCCCTGGCTCTCCGGGAACTTACTCTGTAGAACAGGCTGGCCTTGAACTCACAGAAATTTGCCTGCCTCTACCTCCTGAGTGCTGGGATGAAAGGCATGCCCCTCCACTGCCCAGCATAAACAATTTTTAAAGGGGACAAATGTGTAGAAAAAGGAAGCAAACTAGTGTTTGTGTGGGCCAGATTGCTGTATATGGAATGGCATAACAGTACAGGCTCTTTGAAAACTGTTCTGAAATTGTTGGTGATTACACCAAATTTTGAATGTCCTGAACCTTTGGAATTATACAGTTTTAAATGGTTAAAATTGACTTTTATGTTCTGTGACTTTTACCTAAATTTTCTTAAGTGAGTAGAGGAGAAGGAAAGTTAGTCATCCCCAGATCTTCCACCTTGTAGTGGAGGGCACGGATGAGTTCCTGCTTGTTTGAATAGCAGTCTATTTTTTTTGTAGGTTAAACAAGATAGAAACTAATTCTGTGTACAGTGCTACTAGTCGGGGCTTGAGATGTCAGCTGTTTGTAGTTGTTTGAAAAGGGCAGCTGCCTGGAACCCATTCACTTTGGGGCAATAGAAAGTTGTAATCTCACTATCAAAGAAAAAGTGAACCTTTGATCTTATAGGGAACTTAAATGGTTTATCATTTATGGTGAAAATACTGAAATTCTTTTTCTTGACCTTTGGAAATATGACCACATTATCAGCTGTATGTGAACTTATCCCTAGTTTAATTCCCATTCATCATCTTTTCTTCCTCCTCCTCTTCCCCTTGTTAAAATGCAATAATCAAGGCCTGGCATGGTAGCACTCTCCTTGAAGGTAGAGGCAGGCAAGTTCAAGTTCAACCTGGTTGATGTTGTGAGTTCCAGGACAGCCATGACTTCATGGTGAGACCCCATCTAAAAAAAATTTAGGCTAGACGGTGGTAGTGCACAACTTTAATCTCAAGCACTAGGGAGACAGAGGCAGGCAGATCTCTATGAGTTCAAGGCCAGCCTGGTACACAGAGCTGAAGTTCTAGGATGGCCAGGGCTACACAGAGAAACCCTGTCTTGAAAAACCAAATGAATGAAATGAATGAATGAATAAAATTTAATAGAAAAATAAAAAGATATTTAGTCAGACTTTTTCATTGGGACTGTCTGCTCTCCAATGACACAGAGACTTATTATGAAAGCTCAGTCAAGAGCTTGTTTCTAACTTAAATTCACCCATTTCTATTAATTTATATGCTGCCATGTAGCTCATGACTTGTTACCTCATCTCCTTCCTACATGTCATGCTTCCTCAGCTTCTCTTCCAGACTTTGCCCTTCATCCCAGCATTCTCTGTGCCTGGAAAACCTGCCTAGCTATTGGGGTTTAGCTTTTTATTAAACCAATCAGTGACATATCTTCAGTATACAAAAAGATTATCCCACAATTAAGATGTAGTAATTGTCTTAAACAAATTGAGGTTTCCGGGTAGACAGGTTCTATACTGTTCAAGACTAGGACTCAGAATATAAGAATGTACATAGTTTTATCTGGGTTGTATATGTTAATATTGAATTGGGGTTTTTTTGTTTTGTTTTGTTTTAGAAAGCTATTGAGATAGTTACATTCACAAGGGCAGGGTAGTGTATCCCTGTATTTACAAAAAGTGAATGAAATTGTGATGTAAAGAAGTTAAGGAATTATGTTAATATTGTGTTATAATACTGATATTATAGTTAAGTCAGTTCTTGTATGGTAGACAGACAGACAGACAGACAGACAGACATGGATGGTTAGGTAGGCAGGTAGGTAGGTTGGTAGGTAGGTAAATGAATTTGTAAATGGACCAGCAGGTAGGAGTGTTTGCCACCAAGCCTGATGACCTGATGCTGAGGATCTACATAGTGGAAAGAGAGATAAGATTCCCTCAAATTGCTCTCTGATCTTCACATGCACACTGTCAGGAGTGTGTGAGCACACACCAAATTAATTGATTTTAAATGATTTGTAAATAAAATTACATGTAACTTTTAAACCAAGTGAGGTGTCATGATAGGGAGAGTTATGAGTGGAATAAGAGTTGTTGAAGCCAGGTACATAAACGTTTTACATTATTTTCTTTTGTGTATATTTCAGATTTTCCATAGTAACATTTTATTAGTACAGGGAAAGGAAGGGAATTACTTATAAGAAGCAAAGATCTGGTGTCAGGATGTTTTGGATATAATAAGCTCCTGTTACAGAAGATATTCAAACAGGTACTCCTTAGATCTGCTTGTATGTCATTGTGTCCTGCAAAGTTTAGACTACTCAATTCTGATCTGGGCTTAGGGTGAAAGAATGTGGAATTTGAGGAGAAAGATAGTTTTTCGAAATTTCCCCTAAATGGTCCTGTTGAGGCCTAACTCTCTTGGACTCTCTTGATGGAAGACTTAAAAGTTTCCTCAGGCCTTAGAAGTCTGTGAAGCTAGGGGTGTGGTGAGAAAAATAAAACACACTGGGAATAGTTTCTGTAAAGCCCCTAAACCCATAGTTAGATTGCAAAGACTGGTTACTTTCTAGCCTGTCCTTTGATGAGGGAAGGGGTATGATATTTATGCATGTCTGCCTGTGTGAATCCTGTCCTGCTTGTTTTAAATGTTTTTATCTTCAAATGTACCATCAGTACTATACTGATATTTTCCGTATGTGGTTCCCTTCAGAAAGCATTCTCTAGGAATAATGGGAATGGATAGTTTCCTAAATATAAGGTTTGTCCCTGTCTGAGTCATCTGGTCAAGTGGTTGTCACAAACTTCAGGAATTAACCATTGAAGTTGTTCCACATAAGCAGGGTTTGCTTCTCTTTTTTGTTGGTGAAAAGAATTGACCCTAAGGCCTCACATCTGCTAGGTAAGTGTTCTACCACAGAACTGCATCCCTGGCTCTTTTTTTATTTTCTCACTCTAGCTCAGACAGACCTCAGACTTCTACTATCCTCTTTTCTCAGCTTCCCAAGTGCTGAGATTAAAAGTGTCAACTATCACACCTAACTTTGGGTAGTGTCAGATGTTTTAAATTAGTTAAATTGGGAAAGGATTAAAGAATAGGGAAACAGGTTAATGAGAACTATTTGTCAAGGCCAAGTAGGTAAAAGTAACATAATTGGTCAGCTGATGAGTTGGAAAAGGAGTTGACCTTGACAGTGCTGAGCACCCACAGGTTGACCAGTAGCGCATCATCTGCCATGAATTAGCTTAGCCTACTTCCCAGGCCTAAACTGAAAAGTGGCTGAAGAGGCATAATGTTGTTTATCATTCTGTTGTGCTTGACTCTATTGGAGCACATTCTGAGAGGGGTACCAATAAACAAGTGTCATGAAAAGACAGTAGTTAGTCTTCAGGATCTAAAGGTATCTGAGAACTGTTGACAAAAATTACATTTTTCCCATAAAAGAGTATTAATTAGGTTTAAAATCACTATCTTGGGTCTAATTTGTTTGTTTATTTTGGTCTTTTTA